TTTTGCCCTTTGTCACCAGGTTGATGTTGCATTTTTGAGAGCAGCAAGAGCTGGGAATCTTGAAAAGGTTAAATCTTTTCTAACCGAGGAAGGAGACATTCACACATGCAATGCCGTAAGTGATAACATTTTGTTTACTTCACAGATGGTATCAAAGCTATAAAATGTCAAACAGAAAGAGGACATTTACAGTCTGCTCATCATACCATTGCTGCTACAAAATTCTGTTAAATTTTGATAGTTTTTTTGCCAACTGTTTGATGGCTTTTTGTTTTTGAACTGGCTAGTCAAAGTAAAACTGAAAGAGGATGAGTTCGTATAACTGTTTGTTCTCCAACGTCCTGTAGGCTACTTCTGATGTCTTAAAATAAATCTTGATAGCACTCCTACATGTAGAGGACGTCACAAAACAAGAGAAAGGAATAACCATACTTGTTCAGTCTCCGTTGACCAATTCCTTAGGTCTTGCTTAGATTCTCAAGGTCAATTTTTAATTAATAAAATAAGAATTAGCCTACTTTCAACTCCACCTTTCTTGCTGGTTGAATTTTTGTTGAAATAGGAATCGTAGATCAGTTATGATATGTGGTGTTGATGAACTGTGTTTCTTTTTTTCAACAGAATGGCCTTAACGCACTTCACTTGTCATCTAAGGAGGGGCATGTTGAGGTTGTCCAAGAGCTTTTAAGGCGTGGAGCAGGGGTGAACTTTACCACCAAAAAGGGCAACACAGCACTTCACATTGCTTCACTTGCTGGACAAAAAGCGGCAGTAGATGTGTTACTGGAATCTGGTGCCTCTGTAAACTCTAAAGCTCAGGTAACAACCTGTAGAACTACATAATGCTTATAAAATTATTGTTTTGTTTGAGTAGAGATGTATTCATTTGAATTCATGTTGTGATCCAGCAGACATGTCGCATGCAAAGTTTGTGTTATTGAGTCAGTGTATAGCATATTTAAGGCCTTATGTGTCCGATGGCGTGATGAGGACTGATGATGATGATGATGATGATGTTGATGGTGATATTATATTTTGTTACAGAATGGCTTTACACCATTGTACATGGCAGCTCAGGAAGGGCATGTCGACGTCGTGAGAACACTTCTTAACAAGGGAGCAAATCAACAATGTACTACTGAGGTTAGTGATCAGTTCAGTTTTAAATCAGCATACATGTAATTTAGCCTCCTCGGCTGGTTAGCGAGAAAATCACAATGCAGGTTCTATAATAATTACGGACTCTTCCAAAAAGACTGCTTTGACTTGTCTGTTGATGTGTGTATTACCTGTTTGATGATCACATCACCTGAGGAAATAATTCCATGATGCAAGGTGTCAACTTACCCTTTACTGGACAGTGCTTTACTGTCTGTTATCCATAAAGTTTCAAGTAATATTACTGCTGATCAATGTGCCATTGGTGGAATTAAGAATCTTGGGGATCTAACACAGAAGCAGAAATCAACTTTATTCATTGTTCTCTTGCAGGATGGTTTTACTCCAATTGATGTCGCTGTTCAACAAGGACATGAAAAAGTTGTAGCAGCACTTCTTCATCATGATTCCAGAGTAAGAATGTTTTACTTTCTTATCACTTTCTATCTGATTCTGAATGTGTAAACTTTGTGCTGTTAAGGCTGCAGCTTTTATGTCTTTAACAACTTAATATACTCCCTCGCTGTTAATTTTATTCTTAACCCTGGGAAAAGAAAATGAGAGTGGTGCTTCCATCATTCACAGAACAGTCTTTAAACGTTTCTTCGATTGTGACAGATTTTTACACCATACTGAATTAGCTGGAATTAAGTGCTTTTAGAAACATGATAAAATCTTACATTGTACTGTTCCAGACAATATCCATACTCCCCCCAATAGAAGGGATTGGAATTTCCTGGGGGGCAGGAGGTTTAGCAAGACCAAGGAATTTAAAGAACACAACGTTTGTGTGTGAGTCAGTACAGTGTTTATCACATTTTGTTACAGAATGCCTTTACCCCATTGTACATGGGAGCTCCAGAAAATATCCATACTCCCCCGGGCACAGAAGGGATTGGAATTTCCTGGGGGCGGGGGGCTCAGTAAGACCAAAGAATATTAAGAAATGTATGAAGCTTAATTGGATTTCCAGAGGGGTGGGGGAGGGGATATTTTCTATAACTACACATTGTTCAAATACATTTGCCAGTGATTTTCTTCAGAATTTTATTTTTTCATTTCTTTTCTCTTTTTTTCTTTTTTGCAGAAAGGTTATCGTTCTCTTCATACCGCAGCCAGGAAGGACTTTGCCAAGGCAGCCAAGCTTCTGCTTCAGAAGGATCACAAGCCTGATATTGAAGCTCCAGTAAGCCTGTGAACATTTCTGATATTCTTGTCAAACTAAATTTTGTAAAATTGATATNTTTGTAGTTTTGACTCAACCACATCGGATCAAGATACTCACAATTTTGTACAGGCTCCTACAAATCGCTTTTGTCTCTTTCTGAATATGCATATGGTTTGTATAGGCTTTTTGGAAGAAATAGCTTGTCTTGGTGTTTGTTGACAAAATTTAATACAACGTTTCCTCTTGCTTTCAAAGAATGGCCTCACGCCTCTTCACATCGCAGCACATTATGGCCATGTGGATATTGCTGAGCTGTTACTGAATCGTGGAGCAGACACTGACGCTCGAGCCAGGGTAAGGTTAATCAACAAGAATGTTGTGAGGGTTTATGAAGTCTTGAACTGTTCTTGTTCAATGATTCTTTAAGAAGTGATGCTGAGTGTTTTTGTGAGATCTCAGAATCATTCAGAATAATTGCTCGTTTCTTTGTTATAATAATTGCACTGATCCAATGTTATCTGTGATCCAAGACTTATAACTTGATGTATGTGAAAATATACTTGTCTACCTTTCAAATTGAATATTGTTGTTTTAAAATATATGTACATGGAAGAGAAAGATAGTTTTCTCCTTGTCGCAGTGAAATCCTTTTTCCATTCTTTCATTTGGGGTGTTACAATTTTGCAAATTTGTGAGTTGTCCATGCATGTACAGATTGAAGTAAAAATCTAAACTCCAAGAAATAGCAAAGATTAAAAAACTTTAATGCATTTTACTAATTCTTTAGTGTGAGGTGACATTGATTCATGTTTTCCAACAGAATGGATTTACTCCTCTTCACGTCGCCTGCAAGAAAAACCGGGAACAAGTCATCCAGCTGCTGTTAAAATATGGTGCAAATGTTCACTCAGCTAATGAGGTGAATTNCTTTCATTATGGCAGTCTACTGCCTTTGTTTTAAATTTTATACTTTTGTTACCAAATCTGTGAAATTGAGCAACTATTTACGCTGTTTGAAATATTTATTTCATTAATTAAAAACTGTTTAATCTGCTTGTTATTTAGAGAGGTGAAACTGCTTTACATATTGCCTGCCGCAGACGACAGATAACAATTGTACGACTGTTGCTAAGGAATGGTGCATCGGTGGATGCCAAAACACAGGTTAGAACTTCTGTGGTGAAAGCTTGGTGTTTTATAATGCATTATACATCATGTCTACATATAAGCAATGATGAAGGTCTCCCAGAGGAGGGGAGAACATGTTCCCTTGTTCCCTACATTTTTTTGCCAAAGTTCCCTCTAAAAGTAGAGATATCCCTTATTCCTACAAATTAATCCCAAAAATATCCCTTGTTCCCTTGAAATGAGTGACTGTGTTCCTTTGTTTTACAAAAACCCCTGGGGGGCCCTCAATGATAGCTTGTGGATCAGACTTCTGTTCATTTACAGAACAGTGATGGAGATGTGAATGATGATATTGAAAAGTCATCCAATAAAGATGATGACAAATAAGCAATTTAAATCATGTCTAAAGGATGTCATCTTCATTTATAACCAAATTCTCAGAAGTAAAATGGGAAGAATTATATGGCAATCAGTAGAGAGAATTGACATTTTGAGCTAGAGACAGGAATTGACGTGTTCTCTTTCTTTCAGGATCGTGAGACTCCACTACACATTGCGGTCAGAACAAAGAATGTGGAGATGGTGAATCTTCTTCTGGACCATGGAGCATCCACTGATGCTATTGATAAGGTTCGCCCACAACTCATTTCAGTTATGAGTCTTAAAGCTTAATGTCTACTTTATTGTGAATCATTAAAAGCTTGGGTTGAGCCTGACAACAAAAGCTAACAAGATCAAGGTTTTTGTTACAGCTATGTTTTACCCCAAAATATTCATACCTCTACCAATAAAAGTGTTTTTTTGGTTTGATTGCACCCCGCCCACCAACCCCTGGAAATTCTGGTTCACTGTCAGTATCTACATGTGAAAGATTTGTATTTAAAACCCCTTTTGGCTCCCCCTGGAGATTTTCAATGATCTTCCTGTTGTGTTGGATATGGATATGTTCTGAAACTCCACATTAAAGAATCTTGAGGGCTGTGGAAAGTGCAATGGGACAAAAAGCTGTGGTTGACTTACTAGAATCCCACCCTGAGAGGAGCCAAGAGGACTAATAATTCTAGTCACTTCATACTACAGATGGTAGTCTGATTGCTGTACCTTACAACAATATGTTAATATGTTTTTGAAACTATTTCTTTTTGTTTAGAACAAGTGCACACCTTTGCACATTGCTGCCAGAGATGGTAATGAACAGCTGGTGGAAATTCTTCTGGAACATGGGGCTTCTGTTACAGAGCTGTCCAAGGTATGTTGGCCATCCTGTGGCTTGCTGTCTTGTCTTCTTATTTCTTTATGGGAAATTACTTGATAAAGTGTATTTCAATTGACTGTCCAAAGTAATCTGGCAATTACTTTGCTTTGGCTTTGGTTTTTCTATGGTTTGAGATTTACGACACTCAAATTCTCGAATAGGCTTGATTACCAGCTGCTGTTTCGGGGAATGAGTTTGCGCTTGTGGACCCTAGAGAGTGGCGGAAATCAAGCCTAATTCTCAAACTCAATAATGATTCATCAAGTTAAACAAAGGAAATCATGACTGTGATGGTGTCTGGATATCTGATCTTAAGTAGCATAGATTTTTACAATTTTATTTCTCCGTTTTCTCCTTAATTTTAGTTTCAATTGAGAAGATACATCAAACAATCACGACAGTATTTTACCACATTACCAAACACCTTGAATTTTGTCAAATATTCTCTGCTGTAGACACGTTGTGTTTTCAACCGTCTTCTTGTTGTTTGGAAACGTGGTCAAACACAGCCTTTCATGTTCGATATATTACTAGTCTTGAAAAACAGTCTAACTAGTCCAGCTAACAGATGGTGTAAGAATTATCAATATGTTGTGTTCCTACAAATGTTGTTTTATTTCTATTTTACAGAAAGGATTCACTCCTCTTCATGAAGCTGCAAGAAATGGTCATGTCAGGATTGTGGAAATCTTACTGAAGTATTACGATAACCCTGACCCAGAGGGAAAGGTCAGTGAACTTTTGTGTGTTGGTATAATTAGTAGCAAGTTTATGGCTGCCTTGTGGAGGTGCGGTGGCCTCATGGTTGGTGCACTTGTCTCTGGATCGAGTGGTCTGGGTTCAAGCCCAGCCAGGGACATTGTGTTGTGTTCTTGGGCAAGACACTTTACTCTCACAGTGCCTCTCTCCACCCAGGTGTACAAATGGGTACTGACAAATTTAATGATGGGGGTAACCCTGCAATGTACTGGCATCCCATCCAGGGGGGAGTAGAAATACTCCTAGTCGCTCGGATCGAGTGGTCTAGGTTCGAGCCCTGGCCAGGGGCATTGTTTTGTGTTCTTGGGCAAGACACTTTACTGTCACAGTGCCTCTCTCTCCACCTAGGTGTACAAATGGGTACTGGCAAATTTAATGATGGGGGTAACCCTGCGACGTACTAGCATCCCATCCAGGGGGGAGTAGAAATACTTCCGGTCGCTTCATGCTACAGAAACTGGGATAAGCCCCAGCTTGATGGGCCACTTGGCTCGTATGCCGACTTAACTGTACCTGTCTTACCTAGGTTTTAAAATGAATTTGTAAAATTAATAGTGAGATTTCTGGTTTTACTTTAGCACGGACTCACTCCTCTACACGTGGCAACTCACTACAACAATGATAAAGTCGCTACTTTCCTGTTGGAAAACAATGCCAATCCTAACGCAATGGCAAAGGTAAACCTTTCATCGTTTGATTCCTTGAAAGAAATTGTTGTTGCTTGCACCACCGTGAAGTAAACAGAAAAAAAGTGCATTTATTTAAGTGGATAAATAAGGCTCGATTTCCGCTGCTTTCTGCAACACTGGCTTACGGATTGATGTGGCTGACAGACTGTTGTTTTCGGTTATATTACGAATTCACGATGTGATCAGCCCTCAGTTGGCTTGATAGCTCAGTTGGAAGAGCACTGCACCGGTATCGCAGAGGTCGTGGGTTCAACCTGAATTTTTTATCACACTTTAATTTCACAACTGATTAAGTTGTGTGTATAACTGCAATGATCAATCATGTAGACCTTCATATATGCTGTTTCGTTGTTGTTCAGAATGGATTTACTCCTCTGCACATTGGAGCCAAGAAAAACAGAATAGACATTGTATTGATTCTGCTGAGACGAGGCATGGATCCTGATGTCACTACACAGGTAAGAGAGTATTCGGCATTGTTCATTCCAACGGACGAGCTGAGACAAGCACGTCTGGTCTTTGTGTGCCTTCTTTTCTGTGATGTGTACATGCATTTTCTGATAAATCTACAGCTGAGAGCCTTGTGTCATTAAGGTTACCGTATACCTTTAGAGGTGTCTCGCATCCAAAGTGATGTAGCGCGTCCGGTTTAAACTGTAGATACCAAAACCCTCAAAATCAAATTAAAGCTTTTAGAGCTTGCTATCAAACTATACTTGTACCTAGTTGTACCTTTTTGGTACGCATTGGTGGCATATCGGGTGAGTTTGGTCGAGCCATGGTTCGTAGTTTGGCGAGACGTAGTCTAGCCAAAATACCCATAGTGGGACCAAATGAGCTTGATATATATGTGAAGGGTTCCAAAAAGGCACGATTACGTATTTACCGTACCCAAATTCGGCCAAGTGACCATGATATCGCTTGATATCAGGTCAGTGACTTGATATCGATTCAGCATATCAGGACAGTAGACATGGCAAGTCCGATTGGCTGATTGCGGATTTGGGCACGGTAAGCTGGAGTATAGGGTAACCTTAATAATTTACTTTGTAAGTTGTGTTTGACACTGACCCTACTGGAAAGTTAAAACAACGTTTACATCAACTTTTGGAAAGACGTTTCAAAAGTTGCCATAAGCGTTGTTTTTACGTTTCAGTAGGGTCAGTGTCAAAGAGAAACACAACTTTGAATGTAAATCACTGATGGTCATGCCTGTCTGCAATTTTAGCATTTTTACGTTGTGTCATGTTTGTATCTTGTACCGAGTTTGTTTTGTTTGTTTTGTTTTCATCAGACTGGTATAAGCCCTCTTCATCTGGCCGCCAAGGAGGGACATTTGGAGCTGTGTGAACACTTGGTGGAAAACGGAGCCCTTCCAGGCGTCACTACAAACGTAAATAACAATCTTTGTAAATTCACCTTTTCACGGTTTTTGACGCCATCTTGTTTGGGGGTCAAACACGGAGAATGGAAAATCTAGTGCCTAACAACTCACGTAAAATTCGAGTTCTGAAGTATTTATGAATCAAAATATAAAGATACTAGGTAGAAGAATTTACGATCACTTTTGAGGGAAAAAGCCCCGCTAGAAAAGCCACAATTAAGGTTTTCATTTTCCATTTATTTGTCTGTAAAACCGAGTTGCAATTCGCGGGAAAATTTAGAGACATTTTGTTTGAAAAATTAAAAGTACAATTCCTCGCCTCTCGGCAAATCTATGTTCTTCAAATTTGATCCCAAAAAAAAAACAAAAAAACTTTCTGCTGGGTATCTGTTCGTTGTAATTCATAAAATACCCAGAAGGTCAATCACTCACAACTTACTTGGCATCGAACTTTTAACTCTTCATACATTTACTGCAATTTTTGCTGTTTGCCCCCCAAGCAAGATGGCGTCAGAAACCGTGAGAAGGGCTATTCATGTTATTGACCGGCGAGCATATTGTACATACACTTCACTTCTCTCTCATTGTGCAAGGCAGGAAGCAAATATGACCTCTGTATGCAAGTGCTGCTCGCTATACATGTGTTAATGTCGGAGGCATTAGTTACGTGTAGACGTCTAAACTTACCCTTATGCAGTAATTTTTCACATCCAGTTAGCTACATTCAACTTTTTTCTCTGATTCTGGAGAATGATACAGAGTTTACCTACAAGCCACTTTACATTAAATAGCTTTATTGGAGTAAGATATTTGTTTTGTCTTGGTTGTTATAGAATGGTTTAACACCGCTGCATTTGACGGCAAGAGAAAACAGGATTGATGTGGCTAAGCTTCTGCTCAAGCACAATGCTCCTATCAATGCTCAGACTGTGGTATGTAATGATTATGTTCTTATGCAGGGAAAAAACCCTGTTCCTAAGTTTTGTTTTGAAGAGGGAGAACCAAGACTTGATAATAATCTCTGTCTAGGGGACTTTGTCCAGACACAAAAAAATATATGTATATTTCTCAAGAATACGCGCAAATCTAAAATTTTACAGCCATGTTTACAGAGTCTCATCTAAACACACCTATCGGCCAATGAGAGCGCGCGTAGTATCTTAGTTATTTTATAAATAACATTTTAGGCTTGTACAACCCTGTTGCCGAAAAATTAAGCGTAACAAGTTTTGTTTCAGGAATGGAGAAAAAAAATAAAACAATAATGGTTTTGTTAGCAAATCCAAATAAAAATTGGCTCTTCTTTGCTAATATAAAAGTCTGAAATCCAACAATACAACTCGCTTACAGTAAAGACACTAGACATTAGCCTGCTAGAAGCATCAGCGACCATGAAACTTGTTACCCCCAACATGCCAACCCGTATCCCATTTCTTCCTGTTCATTTGCAAGTTGTTAACGAACTCTCCGTTGTTCTTCTCATTAGAGTGGCTTCACACCGTTGCATATCGCGTGTGTGTACGGTCATTTTGAACTGGCCAGGCTGTTAATAGAAGCAGGAGCCGAGATTGAAGGCAAGACAAGGAACGGTTACACAGCACTTCACTTGGCAGCACAGTATGGACACAGGCTCATTATTGATCTGCTGCTAGAACATGGAGCTAATCCTAACGCTATGACTAATGTGAGTATAGTTGATGAACTTCTTGTACGCGGTTTCTCTCTGTCACAAATGTGTTGTTGGTCGTCACGCAACGCTTCTGTTAGTAGTGTTGCGTTACGCTTCCGTTAGAATCGTTGCGTTATGCCTCTGTTAGGAGTGTTGCGTTACGCTTCCGTTAGGATTGTTCCGTTACGATTCTGTTAGGAGTGTTGCGTTGCGATCCAGATAACAGTTTTTGGGGAGAACATAAAACTTGCGAAGTACCGCGCGATTGTTTGAAGCCTTTAGCATGGGATTGTGGTAAATCTTTTTTTGAGGAGCTTTTCAACGCCAAGTCAAAGACGATAGGCTTTGCCAATTTCCGAGGGAATAATTTTGGCCGAAGAAGACTCTTATTTGCGATTGTAAATAAGTAGTAGCTAGTAACCTTCCAGTTCAGACTTTGGAGCGAAACACGTGTGTTTTTAGTTTAAGTGTGTTACACGCTCATGTTTATCAGGTTATTTACGCGCAGTTTCTCTCACCGTTTTTTCTTAGCTGCGCATTTCCGGTTTTTAGTGGATTGAAACATTGGTTTTGAACTTTAAGTAGACACTATTTACTTTTGTTATACCGTATACTCTTTCTGATTATTCTTGTGTAGGAAGGTTACACTGCTTTATACATCTCCCGAAGAGTGAATCTAAACACCACGATAACTGAGACCCTGTCTAAAGTAACAGTGGTGACACAGACCATTACTCTCAGAAGAAAACAGGTGAGTTTGTTAACGACTTTGACCCAAACTAGTTGTTATGTGTTTGTCGGATCTGTGGCGTTTGCCAAGCTTTTACAAAGCTCAGTGTGATTAACTCGTTCCTGGCATGCAACATTTTTCAACCAGTCAGAGTAAAAAATGTTGACTTCAGAGCCAATCAAAACTTGTCGTGATCACGTGACTTTTTCCGCGCTTGGCAGCAGGTTACAAATCATGTGCAAATTGGGTTGTACATGTATTCTTATCAGTGCTGATTCGAGCGAAAATAAACGATAAAAACCGACGTTTCGGTTTCATTATGACGCCATTGTCAAGTTGATTGAAGAATTATTCGGCGAGTCCTTTTGTAAAAAGTTCGCTAAATTTGCATAATAAATCGAAAGTTGAACTATGTAAATACTTTGGCACGTTTATTGTCTGATAGTTCAGTTGTTCTTACATTCCTTTGGGACGCGAAACTGCCATACGAGGTCTTCAGGGACCTTCTCGTGCTGGTTGCAATAGTGTTTATAATATGTAAATGATGAACGATGTTTGTGGTCATGTACGCGTTCTTGTGACTGCCGTATTTGGTTGTCTGATGTAGCCCTTTAATTTGTTTATTCAGGGAGAAGAAGGAGAGGAAGGCGAAGAGGACGCGGAGTCCGACATAGTTTTCAGTGCAGAGCCTGAAGAGCTAGAAGAAGAGGAAGTCCTTGATGCTCTGGAATTGGTTGAAGAAGGTCAGTGTTTATTTCTTTTTTTCGTGCGTCTTTCACCCTTGTACATCCGTTTTAGCATTTTGGAACTGAAACAGCATAGATAAAATTCAATCGGAGATATTGGTCGGCTGCCTGTAAAAGCAGCCTCTTTGATATTGACTAGAAACGAGCTCCACGTTTTCATTTTTTCTCCTGCTTTAATCTGTTTCCATCCGCGCCATAGTCAGTAATCTCCACGTACTAGCGTGTTCCTGGCTTTTTTGGCGTCGTATTCTACAAAGTCAAGCCTTTATTGTTGAGTTTCCGGTGATTTACACGTAAGTTTGTTTTACAGCTTCTCAATATCATTCCAAAACGGAATCTCCTTGTCTTATCGTAAATTACTTGTATCTCATGTACACCACAGTCTGTAAGCCTTACTTTCCAGAGGGTTTCCGTTATTTGACAACAACTCCGATGAAATACATTTTTGATCTTCGCGAACTCTCGTTACCCGCAGAACCGTCGGTTTAGCAGGGCAGAGCGCGAGAGAGGAGCGACGAAAAATTGTTTCGTCGCCCTTTTCTCGCGCTCTTCGCTCGCCCTCTCGATTCACAATTGTGTAACGCGCTGCGTTCTCGCCCCCGCTTAACTTCATTTTCCGCAGGCTAAAATCACGTAGTCTCCAATGCAGGCGTCATTTAAGTCGTCACGCGTGGCTTCTCCAGAGACGCTTTGCGTGACAATGCAAAATCTAGAGTCTAGAAGTCACGCTAATATATGAAATGTTCTTCAGATCCATCAATTGCCGAGGAATCTTATGACCGCTTCATGACAATGGAGGACATGGTGGATGACGACCAGCGCTCATCAAGTCTCGCACACAGAGACTCGGGAATCTTTAGTTCGTCTCGATATTCGGGAGCATTCTTTGAGGGAACACCGACCGGCTCCAGGGCGTCCGACTTGAACCGCTCTCGTCTGTCAGACTTCAACATGTCCGAGAGTATAACGACTTCTGAAATGATCATGACAGAGTCGGAGCTTCCGTCCAGCCTGGCAGACATGGCCGACGACAATGTACCGAAGTACGAGCCTCTGGTGACGGGAGATTTCCTTGTAAGCTTCCTCGTGGATGCTAAAGGAGGCAAGATGGAGAGCTCTCAGACGGGACTGAAGATCACACTACCGCCAAGATCATGCCAGATGCCAACTAGAATCATATGTAAACAGTTACGGTGAGTCGCGGCGAGGTCGCTGCTGGCAAACCTTGTAAAAGTAGCTTAGGATTTTGTTTGCAATCCACCTCAATCAGCCATTCTTCTTTAGTTTTGGTTTATTACTGTTTCTTTAGTGTTTTACTAACTTAGCTTAACTTAGTATGGTGTTATTTTGATGTTTTTGTCGAATTGAATGTAATCCAGTTTATTGCAAAAGTGGCTCGATATATCGCGAAAGTACCGAGGTCAGGTGACCTCGTTCTCGTACCTCTCTTCTTCCCGCCTCCTGGAGCAAGAGAGGGCGAGAGAAAAGAGACCCTGGGAACGAGATTGAAGGTCAGCTTCAAGATTCTCTGCACTCATTTTCATACAGCTTTCTTTAAATCCATTTGGGAGAATTTAGTCCAATCTCTTGAGATTATCAGGTCTTGATTCTCATAGCCTCTTAAACGCCGTTTGCCTTAGATGGTTAAGCGAAATTGTTAATTTAATATTTTTACAAACTTCTCTTACCCAGAATGAACAAGCCCTCATTGCTGCCCCCACTGTGGGAAGGCGAGGCGTTAGCTTGTCGGATTCTTGATGTGAACCCGTCGGGAATTAAGTTCCTGCAGCCGGTTTACTTGGAGTTGCCACATTATTCTGCGCTCAGGGATGGCGAGAGGGAGTTGGTGGTGTTGAGGACTCAAGATGGAGGCTGGAATTGGCAGGAAGTTTGCGTTGAGGACATGAAAGGTACCTGGACAACTTTTGCTATCTGTGAGATTTCTAAACAGTGTTTAGCAAGTTTAAGTGGTTAGTCATGGCTGTCATAAAACTAAAATCAAAGTGTGATAATGCACAAGACTGGATTAGAATTTGGAAGTGGAGTAAACTGAAGAAAATCTTGGCGGCAAAATAACCAGAAACTGAGCTGTGCGGCTTTGGAGTTGAACGAATGATTAGTCTGGTCTGAGAGTGCTAATTAATCAGCTTACGAGATCTGGTTTTGGCTGGTCTTCAGTTGTTGTGACAAAGGTATACAAATTTCAGCGCAAAAATTGCGCGCTTTCTTTCCATTTCACGGGTTTTCTGTTTCTCCCACTTTTTGGCTCCCGCGTTTTCAGCTACGCGCGCTGTGTATTTCTCGCGCTTTTTGTGTCCCGTTAAGACTTAGACGTTTCGAAAAACTAACGCAACGATTTAGGAACAGACCGCTCTTGGCAAACGGTCTTCAACTGAATGATGGAGTAACATCTGTTGTTATAATTTGTTTCAGCCGTGGATGGGTACAGCTCAGACATGAACATTCACCATGGGTACTTCCCCAGCAAGAGATACGCGCGGATTGAAACACAGGACTTCCCAGAGAAGTTTTCCATCATATCACGACTAAAGAAAGAAACTTTCACTGTCGGTCTTCGTGGCGAGGTCCTTAAATCATCGGTCCTCCCTCAGGTGCAAGTAAAAGTGCCTGATGGGGCTGTATCGAGCGGGACAAAAATTACCCTGCAGGTCAGTGTGAGAGCCTTGGTTCTCCATAATGTCGCTGTATAGTTAGAAAGTTGTCATTTTAGTTCAGAACTGTAGCAGCTCTCGTAAGCTTGTAATTCTCTTCATTGTTAGCAGCTGTTATTGTTTTAGGGCTTGGTGCATTGTTTCTGTTGTTTGTTCTATTGTTCTCTCAAAGGGTAGCAAGCCATTCATGTGAGACCTTAAGAGTACTGCTACATCACCCTTTTAGTTGGCAACCCATTTCAGCAGAAACTATGGCTGGTTTTAACTGTCATGCCATCAGAAATAAAAATCGCAACCATTCAATAACGCCATGTTGGTGCCCCTTGGAGGGGCGCCAACATTGCGTCCGTAAAGTAATAGAAACATCTGTCATTGAGCTTTGCTATTGAAACGAAAAGTTATTACTCTAGAGCTCCAACACATTGAAATTAATACTTCCTCTGGTGCAAGAACTGTTTTGAAAGTTGACAAAACTTTGACCACTATAAACATTCAACACCAGCAACAACAACTTGAGCGATAACTCATCTTTTGAGCTACGCGACACGCGACGCATGAACTTGGAAATTGAAACGTCCTTTATAACAAAATGAAGGATCCTGTCGAGCGTAAACGTTGCAAACGTCGTTATTAGAGGGTCTTACATCTCATGAAACTAAAACCTCAGAAAGATTGGTAATTTTTTATTTTGGAAAATGATGACTTCACACTGGCAATATATCAGAAGTCCCAAAAACTCCCGTCGAGAGAGGTAACAGTCCTTATTTTTTGTCTTGATTTAGGTTCAACCTGCTGATGAATCATTCAACGACTTTGAAGACTGGGTGGCTGTGAGCCCTGTGCTCACGCTTGAACCACAGGACATTACCTTCTCCAAACCTGTGACAATAACCATCCCCACCCCTGTCTACAGCCCAGGTGGAGAAAATGTTGATATCCAACCCTCTTTGAGACTGCTCAGCTGCGAGCCTCGAGATAATAGAAAGTCTATGTCCCATGCCCCCACGTACCAGTGGCATGACATCACTGACACTACACCGCTGAGCGTAGTGAACGAGTGCGCAACATTCACGACAAGCCATCCGGCAAGGTAAGAGACTCAACTAACTTTCATCTCGTTTTGGAACGATGGTCCGACGTAGTCACGTGTTGCGTATGGTTTTGTGTTTTTGGAGATCGAAGACTGGTACCAAGAGCTTAAGCTAATCAGAGCAACCATATGTTTCCTTTTTCTGCAAATCAGTGGCGAAACCAAAATCTTTCGCGCGTGTACATCTTGCAACGTTTAGCATCTGTTGCACGTTTTTATTTTTCAATCGATCACAATTGTCACTTATCTTAACCATCGTTGTCATAGCTTATAGTATCTCTGCGGTGTTTGTCTGCGCAAGCTAACTGTCATTCTAAAATTTCCTCCCAATTTGAAGAGATTTCATGTATTAAACTCCTTTCTACTGTCCACTCTCATCTCTTAGATACTGGCTCGTAGAGACCCGTAACCCAGACAACGTGACGTCAGACGCACGCCTGTTGTACCGAAAGTTGACTGCTGTCCCATACTTGGTCAAAATTGTCGTCTTCGCTAAAGTAAAGCCTGATGGGACAGAGGCTCGTCTTAGAATCTTCTGTGTCACGGATGATAACATAAAGAAAACGCTGGAACAACAGACTGGCTTTGTGGAAGTGGCGCGGAGTCGTGACGTGGAAGTGTGTGAGGGAAGACCAGTGCATGTCAGGTAGGGCAACTGAATCATGCTCACACAGTCCTATCCTCTTTCGCAGACGCTCTTTGGGCTCGTCACACAGTCTTCCTCCCCCACGAAGATTGCGTGACGAGTGTTTTTGTTGTTGTTGTACGTCTATTGACACTTTCACACTCGGAATTAAGTATGGAGTCAAATGATTTGTTTTGACTTTTAAAGTCTGTGTGTCACTGTGCAAATAGTAGCTATGAAGTTTGAACTTATTCATTCTTGAGAGGAAAATCAGAAAGGTTATCTCAGACTGAAGCCAAGTCAAGGGCAAATGAGCCTCTAGCTAATGGAACCTGATTGTGCAGCTATTGTCCGCCTCTGGTTTCAATAACCTAGTTTTCATTCCATTTTGCAGATGCTTGGGTAACGTTACGCCAGTTAATCGTGAACCGTTACAGATGACATTTTCTCCTTTCCGCGAGAATCGTTTGAGCGTGGTCGTTCGCGTAACAGACCCGGCCCAGCCCCCCACCTGTCGGTTGGCGTTCCTCAAAGAGCCTCGTAAAGACCGCCAGGGTAACGTGCGTACGATTTGCAATCTGAGCATCGATTTATCTGAAGAGGTGAGGCATAAACAACTACTTTCTCTTTACCTATTGATGTGTTTTCAAGCCGTCAGGTGGAGAGAACATGGGTTTCAATCCATTGGAACACATTGTCTTAATGCAGCACCAATATTAAAGGAATTGAAAGACAAATAGTAAGGAGAGTTACTATTTTGACCTTGCCTACGGTTGTTCGAAGAACAGTGATCGGCCTCTTATTTCTCCTCAAAACATCCAAACTATTTTATTCCGATAGGTGATGAGAAGTTAAGAACTGATTGTTGATCAGGGTGGTACTATATTAAAGGGTTGGTTTCTCGGCTATACATACTCCGTTACGACCGCTGGTTACAAAATGCTCTTTAGAGGGTTATGTAGACTACAATTTCAATATTTGTTTTTGTTTCTCACAGAACTTGAAGAAGGAAGACGCTTCTGCCCGGCTTCCTGGTAGGTTAATCGTTCGGTATCTTTTGGTATGGGAGAGGTGTTATTGGCCTTGATGCCGTTCAACGATCGCGCAATTTTTCCAATTCACAAAACTAAGTCCTTTCTTCGTAGGTATAAACAAACCAATCAGAGCGACGATAATCCGCGCAACCAGTGACCTGGGCGGGAAAACATGTAACCGATGGCAAAAGCGGGAAAACATGTAACCGGTGCCAAGCGCGGCAAAACATGTAACCGATGGCAAAGCGGGAAAACATGTAACTGGTGCCAACCGCGGGAAAAATGTTACCGGTTCCAAGCGCGGGAAAAAATGTAGCTGGTGCCCAGCGCGGGTCACGGTGCCAAGCGTTAGAACACGTAAAGCGCGGGGCGAGAGCGAGAAAAAATGTTGGTCGTGGCAAAGGCGGAGAAATACTGGAAAACACATCAGGCAACATAAAGCACAAAGTCACGCCAGTCATTTTGTTTTTCATTTGATTGTGAAGCGAAGACAACAGCTTTTCTCGATTACTTAGTTTTCAGTGTGGTTATCACCGTTACGCTAACGCTGCTTTTATTGTTCATTCGTAGATGACTTGTTGACCTTGATCGGCAAAGGTGTTGGATACGATTGGATCGCGCTTGGTCAGCAGTTGGGATTTGCGGACTCAGAACTGCAAGAGATTTCCGATAGACAGTAAGTGTTGACCCAGTCTCCTTCGCAGTCATTACCTGGTTTGTCACGCAACTCGTCACAATCCAATAAATCGAGCAAGCGCTTTCTACTGTGCAGGTCCTTTTTTTTGAAATATTGCACAAGCTATATATTGCCCACCAAGAAAATCATGCACAGCCTAAAAGTGAGAAAACAATTTGCATTCTCCAGAAAATTGCCCAACCTCCCCCTCGCCCCTCCAAAAAATATGGTCCATCCTTCATTTGATTCAAATGTGTTTGTAAAGCAGATGTTTCTTTTTCTAATAACAGTTTCTTTCCTCCAGTTCCGCTTCAACAGACGAGTGCGCAGCAGATGTTTTGAAGACCTGGCGTGACAAAGAAGAATCCGAGGCCAACATGGCGTCCTTAGAGAAAGCTCTCCGTGAGATGGGACGAGAAGACATCGCAGACAACTTCAAACAGCTGGCCTACAGCAGTTACTCCAAAGATCCTGTGGTTGTCGTGGAGACGCACCGCGTGACCACCAATACGATTTCCACAGAGAGCGCAGCACCAGGTCAGCGGCGCATCTCCGAGTTCCTAGACACGGTTGGTGAAACTGATGCCATGTTCGGTGACGAACCTGGTTCCCTGTCCCCGCGCGTGGAGCATAAGTCCGTTTCCGACGGAGACGAGGTTTTCTCTGAGATCAGGACAGTGAAGATGAAGAGCTCGCCTGAACCAATCACGGAAGAGTCTGTCATTATAGTGGAGAAACACAGAGTCGTGGATGAAGATGGTAATGTCATCGAAGAAAGCCGCAAGATAATCGAAGATGGCAAAGAGGTTACTGAAGACAGAGAAAAATTGCTGCAGGATTTCTTCAGTAATGACCAAGGCGTGCTAGATTTCTTGACCAATGATGCCAACAAGGCATTAGAGAACGGAGATGAAGAAACCGAGATATAACGAGGCATGTGAAGCAGTTTGTAACAGTGTAGTGGTACGAACAGTTGAGTACATTTAGACGATTGTTCTGAAGTCGAGACGGGATTGTTGTTTATCTTAAAAGCCAAATTGTATAAGTGCATTGTTGTAAAATTTAGTGGCTTGAGAAGTGGATCAGTTTTTAAGAAGGAAAGCGTTGTTTAGAAAAGAATTCTTGTTGTTTAATAACGGTTTAATTATTTGCATTCATCATGCCAAGCATGTACTTAAGTACCTAGATATAGTGTAAGTCAGAATTCAGACCTGAATATTTCAGCGATTGTCAATTTGGCAAGACGATCTCAGTTAATCGTGATCTGGACCATCACACAACGTATGTAGCGTTGCGTGACATGTAATGGCTGACTTGAGTCACGGGGAAGGTGTTTGGACCAGTGTTTTGTGAAGCGCCCAGGATTTAGCTAGGTTTCACTCATCCATTCTTATTCTAGCGTTTGTTTTCAATTCTTTTGTGCATTTTTCGCGAGAAAACGATTTGTTGATTAGGGAATTTTAATTGTGGGAAGAGTATCCACTTCCCACTGTTTTAGTTTGTACTGCTCGAGAGATGAGAAAATTAGTCGAAGTTATGGCCACTAACACTCGGGAAAACAAGTGCCTCGGGTTCGGAAAATGTTCGTGAAATTATCGAGTCTTCGATTTTTATCATCCAATCAAAATGTGCTCACAAGCTCGTGAAAGGACTTCGCTCCCATGGTTCCTCTCATTGCTTGTCGTCAAGGTGATTCATAATGTTGCTTGGCAACCTCTCAGGACAACTCGGGCCCAGTCTGCTCCTAGTAGGAAAAGGCTCTTCTTTCCCCTGACACCGTAGGGCCGTGAATTTTAGTGTCCGCTGGATTAATGTGGAACTTATAATGAAGATGAGATGAACGCTTTTTTTAGACTGTGAACTTGTCATAGTGTTAATTAGATTTTACGGCTCTTAGGTAGGCAAAAATAGTATAAAACTAACATCAGGAATAAAACAAGTCTGTAAACAATTACATGTGCCTTGATAATCTCGAACGAGACTCGTCCGAACCACAAAGATTTATATGCACGCGTTTAAGTTATTTGCATTGCTGTGTTCCACTTCAAACGGCTTCGTTATAAATGCCAATTATCAAATCCACAATTGCGCTGTGACAACTCGGGACGAAATTTCGGATGAATTCATTTTGGGACAAGTCTTAATCGAATGAACGCGTCCGAAATTAAATTTATGAGGTTTATCAAACCGAAAAGGTCTGGGAACGAGGCTAGGAGGATCCGTCCGAAAGAGGTACCTTTTTGACGCTTTAGGGATATGAAAGGGCAGGGGTTTCACAAGTTATGTCATTTAGATATAACGTGAACGGCAACTGAATAAATGAAACGTGTTTTTTGGTTAACATTTCTTCTGGTAATGCTTGATGTTCTCCCGTAAAATTGTTCATTAACTTCATAATGAAAGAACAGGGATACAGTAAAAGGGTTACCATTTTTCGTTAAAAGATATACGAAAGGGGTAGAGTTTCTGTCAAAATGGTATACAAAAGGGTAAGGGGTTGGACCTCGGAGCGGAGCCTGCCCGTAAAAAAAACTTTGTAGAGTACCCCCTGCAGTTTAACGTTCGAACCAGCAGCAAAGGTTAGGGCTCTGCACATTAGGGTGAGTTCACTGAGCATAATAGCAAGGCAAAAGAATCCAGAAAGCCGGAAAAATAGGGACACCATTGACGCTGCAACTGGGTACAATTATAAGGGTAATATTCGGTGAAGAAATACATGGTTGACGATTTTAACCAAGCGAGAGACAGGCAAGAGCAGAGTGGAAGACACCATTACATGGCCCTATTGATTCTCTCAGTGAAGAGAAGGAATGAAGCCACTAAGTCACGTTTGGGCCGGGGGATACTCCCTTATATGGGCTATATAGGTATGTGCGGCCCCAAAGGGTAGGGGTTTTCAGCCGTTTTAGTCAGAAATAGGGTATCGATTTTGGCCATTTTGATCTCAAATAGGGTATTGTTGTTGCACGCTAGTCTTGGATTGAGTATGTTTTTTTAGAAGAAGCTACTCTTTCTTCATTATCGTGAAGACCATCAACAAAAGCCTTTAGTATCGGTCTGAACTAGGGAACTAATCACAAGACAGCTGGTCTAAAACAGGGTATTGATTTAAGGGTCGGGTCTCAGTTAGGGTATCAAAATTTTGGTCAGGTCATAAATAGGCAGGGAAAATTCCAGATTCTGGTTTTAAATTGGGTAAGGGTTTAGGGAAGCGCCTCCTTCCCCCCCACCCCCCCCCACCCCCACCCCGAGCGTTTGGAGAAGGTAGGAAATATAGCTGTAAACTAAGAACTATAATGTAAGTGTCAGCAGATCAACGATACCCCATGTTTCTAATTCTGCTGCATTAATAGCGTGAATGGTGCTGCGCGCGCAATTACTAAATTATCGTTTAATAAGATTAGTCAAAATTAGCCAGGGGCCCAGACTTGTCTTAGTTTTACGTTCTACCTGCTCCTGACAATGCTCGCAAAAATGGTCTATTCTCCTCGTAGCTCTGCTGGGATATAAAGCTATCCTGCACAGTAAGATTAAACCTATATTCACATCCATTTCACACATTTAATGACAGCTAATAAATTTTGTTTTTTGAGGTTCTTATCGCATAACTATTGTTTTTCCATTTTAAAACTTACTATCAGTATTTTTCTGTCAATTGTCAGATTATATTCTGCTTGCTTTAGCTAATGTCTGCAAGCTGTCAACTGTAATACATCCAGGAAAACAATGAAGATCAATCAATAATGGATTAATTCATTTATTTGAGTGTCAGACTAAAATATCCGTCGGTCTTTCCTATGGAATTCGTGAAGGATCGTCTGTTTAGAAATTTCTTGGTGAATCATCAATTTACGTAGTGGCCGAATGATTGATATTCTCCCAACCGTGTAAAAGCGTTTGCGAAGTTTGCGTGCAGACTTAATTTCCCCTCATTGCTTCCTGTTATTTGACGCAGCAAAGAAATTGGACGCCTGCCCGCAGGCAAAATTTTAGCAAACCTAAATTTAGTGTTCAACGCAGGTAGTAAACAAAAATTGCTGGTCGTAGTCCCGCAGTGAGCAGGGACCCGTGGCACATCTAAATCTAGCCCTGGTTCAGATTTTAACGCATCCCTGCATACTGTTACGGTCAGCAATTTTTGTTCATTTCTTATCTTGTTTAAGTTCTGGTAAAATTACATTTTTTTTTACAAAATTCAATTGGAAGAGAAAAATAGAACAACATCATTAGCAGTTAGCTACAATACTAAAGTGACTTGCGTGAGAAATCGAGGGGGCGGGAACTAGCTTGAAAACAGTGATTAATTAGTGATGAAGGTTGGTCATCTTAAGTACAGGGAAGTTTTTCGCCAAACGTAATCAGTTGTACAATAAAAAAAACTATTTTTTCGCAGTGTGTGAACTGACAAGGGGTCGGGCCCCCTGTACAATACCAGTATTCTCAAAATCTAAAAGTTTCGGTTTCTTGTCTTCTCAATGTGGAACCACAAGCCGCAGGCGAGTGGTTCCGCAGTAAGCTTTGACAATGTTATGACGCAATTTATCATCATTAAGAGGACAGACGCATGAAAAAACTGGCGTTAATTTGTTTTTTACAATTACAAGGCCCCAAAATGGTCAAATGCCGGGAATAAATGAGGAGAAAAGACGCCCGTTAACTTGCCCTAAACAAAGATGAGTGAATTTTATTCAAAATGACGCGAACATTGTCCATAGCTTTTCTCGCTTTTTGATTGACTACTTACGAAAGTCCATAAAATCTCATTGGTTGAAAAGTTGACAGTTTAACAGCTGAAAGTTAAACTTGAAAGCTTGCATAAATTAAAATTTTATCTGTCTGTGCTCTTATTGATGATAAAAATGAGCCAATCCGCGCGCGAGAAATTAGACAGGTATTGTAAAGCAGAGCATCGCACATAAAATGAGTGCTTTCGCAAAACTTGAGTTCGTAAAAAGTCACGTTTCAAGAACATTAACCTGCGACCAGGCGTTCTTTTTAAACAGCAGGGGGAGGGGAAAAAAGACTTTTTTTTTCTCCTTCCCGCATTCGTCCCNCCCCAAAAAACAAACAAACAAACAAACAAAACGTCTGATCGCAGGTTACAAGAAAGTAAAATATCAATACCTTACTTCGGGTTTAAATTTGTTGCCTGCTAATAGTAGCTGAAGTCATCCCCAGTCATCCCCCGCAAGTACAGTTCTCCCAATCACAGATGACTCGACTGGTGGACTGCTGCCGTTATTCTGCTTTATGAGTCAGTTTCCGTTTTGAAAAAGTTTGTAACGTAAACAAGACTGACAGCTGTGGTTATTGCATGGGTTTGTTTCACGCCCTTGAAACAGACGAGAGTTCGAACAATTGTCAATTGTTCCACGAGGTCACGTGTGCGGCGTTCCTTTACGTTCCATATTTGGACGATAGGGATCAACAAAGATTATAATGCTCCGTCAACATGGCGGACGAAAGCGGAGTTTCTAAACGGTGGAAGACTTTGCCTTGTTCTGCACTTGGTGTCTGAAAATTTCTGTGTAATTTAACGTCATTACCATGGAAGAAGGCTACAAGAAAGTAATAGAGCGTCATCGAGATAAATTTCGCCGTGCAATAACGGTAGAAAGACTGTTTTCCCCACTTGTTGTTAGCCATGTTGTGAATTCTGAAGAATCCCAGGCGATTCAAAGCGAGCATCCTGCTCAAAGAGTTGACCGACTGCTAGATGTCATTCAAAGAAAAGACTATGAGACTTTCAAGAAGTTTTGTGTGGTTTTAGAGACGACTTATCCTTACATGCTAAACTGTATGTTCTTGGGAGTCGAGCCTCCTACAACTTCGGGTGAGTGAAATGAAACTTGTGACTGACCTAATGTAAACATGCATGTAAGGCTTTGCTTTGGCGCTCCAACCTTCCTACTAATTACTCACAGATGAAAATATTTAAGATATCCTATATTATTAGCCAAATTATATGTTACTTGCTAGTTGCCATCATTTGCAAACTTGGTCGCTTGTATTGTAATCCGTACAAGCGTCTATTATATTTTCAGATGGATATTTATGCCCCTGCGAGAGCTTATCAACGCAAACTTACTACGCGTTTATTTCGTATTACTCTTTTTCTTAACTCTTGAAGGATTTTATTAGCCGTTTTAAACACTGATCGTAGAGGAAAGTGTTCTTAATGGTTCAGCGGAAATGTAGACTGCCGTGCGCGGGCCGTGAATTTCAGCTCAAGCACGCAAATATATTTTTGTTGTTTTTCATTTAATTGTTTTCGGAAAACCACTGAAGATTAATATATCTACATCTAATAGGAATATATTTCGTTAAATTCGTGTAAGAAAAAATAAATTTCGGGTGAAATGAGTTGCATAACGATTCTGCTGGGAAAATTACTTTTTCAACGTTCTGCATCTTGTTTGTCACCCGAGATGCTTGCAACTCAAGCAAACCATGAAACCACAACAATTCAGTTTTTTCTCGAGATCGCTCAAACTCATATGCCACCACAGCCATTTTTCAAGAGACGTGCTTAGATTGAAGCTTAAGGCTAGCTTAAGTTAAATCAGTCAGCTAATGGCTTTTGTTGGTTTATAAAATGCGTGGATCAAAGAAGCGGTCGTTTAGAGATACGAATCAGTCTTGATGTTTTCTTGTTATCTTTCAGCCTCGCCGCACATACGAACGGACCAAGGAAAAACTGCCGATAACGAAGACGAAGCAACAGCGCGTCACATGCAATGTAAGTTTGTTTCGGAAAGAGGACAACGTTTTAGTTTCTAACGAAATTTCAACAGAGCTGTGTCTGAAACCAGGTGAAAATGTTTCGTGATGTGTCTAAAAACTGGTTTGACTGAATTCGATCTCACACAAGAACATGATTATGTTGGCCGCTGTCCCAGGTTGATCAGCCCAAAAACAATAATTTTGAACGACGCATAATGAAGTTCTTGTTTACAAGTGCAAAGTTCTGAAAGTCGATATTTGCTTTTCTGGCTGTTTGACAGACAGCTCATATAAGTGCGCTTATGAAGTCGCAAAATGGAGCCTGGTGCAAGTGAGCATATTTTCTTACGTGAAACAGTTATATTGGCTAATAAATCAAAGTCATTGACCTTGGACGAAGTGAAAGTTATATTTATTTAGTGTTTACTGGCCATGAACAACAAAGCTGTTGACAAGATAAAATTGGTTAATGATCAGTTTTTCCCAATTTTGTTCTTCAGTCTTTCCCTTGGGAGAGATTTATCCCACAATTCTATTGGTATATTATTCGTGATAAATATATTTTTATGTGTCTAACCCCTGTTGATGACAAGCAAAAGAAAATTGCCAAAATTATTTCCTTAGATTTTTTTGATCTCTAGCTAGATTTCATGACATGATATAAAAGGTTTTATTACCAGTTAATGCACATTGTCTGTATAGTGAGTTACAGCGTAGTTTCAGCTTTAAGCTTTTGAATGTTGTTGATCTTTTGGCAGGCATTGGTTCATCACGCTGTGTGAATGTTGGCCGAAGTACAAGCATGACCGGCCATGACCTCTGCAAGGATCGGCTTATCGGGCTTAAAAATGAGTTAAGGACAGTGAAACGAGACTTGGAAAAAGTATCAGCTCAGTTACACGAGACTGAAGCTGAAAGAGATGCCTACAAGAAAATCAATGACTTGAAAACTGCAGACAGAATGCATATGGACAATAACTCCAATGGTCCACTTGGAAATTTGCAAGGGAGTGACAGGGACAATGAGTTTGACATGCTTAAAGAGCAGTATGTGGAGTGCTTGAAGGAACTAGAACTCTTAAGATATGAAAATTCTGACATTTCGGCCAAGTATGAATCCGTCTGTCAACAATGTGAAAGTGGCAGAAAGTACAAAATGTTATTTCAAAGCGTACAGAGAAAGTATGAAGAAATCAACCTTGAGCGCGATAAGCTGAAACAGGAATATGAAGAAATTGTGTTGTTGAGGGAAAGAGAAAAAATTGAACTCATAGAAATGAAGGACAATCAAAAGTACGAAGAATTTGTTACAACTCATTCAGCGAACACAGCATTTGATAAATACGAGTCACCCAAAAAGGAGTACGAAAGCCTTCAGGACAGTCACAGAGATCTGAGGTCCAAGTACAATCACTTATTTAACAGCTATCAAAACTTAGAATCCGACTACTCGGCACTAAAAATACAGTTTGATGGCTTACTTCATGAGCAAGACTCGTTGATCATTGAACGCAATGGACTGAAGCAGCAAGCGGAGGCTGCAATCAATAAGTATGAAAAAGCTATTAAAGATCGTGACTCTGCATTGAAAGTTTCGTATCAGGTTCAACAGGAAAGGGAGAGAGAACGTGAACAAGTCATGTCTCGCCAGGTTAGAACTGCCAAAGACATCACCAAACTAACTGAGGAGCGGAATGCGGCACTGAATGAGTATCAGTTGGTTATGAGTGAACGAGATACAGTTCATCGGGAAATTGAAAAACTTCATGATGAATTGGCCGATCTGCGAAGTACTAATGAAAAGCTCCAAAAAGATTATTCAAAACTTCAGAATCACATTAACAGCACTCAAGGGGAATTGTCTCTTGTAGTGGAAGAACGCAAACAGGCTGCAAAGGAGGTTTTTGGTCTGAAAGAAAAACTTAGTCAGGCAATGTCAGAAAAGGAGAATGTTATCAAAGAACTGGACAAAGTGAGAGAAGATTACGAGATGTTAAAACAGGAGAGGAATGTTGCACGGAGAGAACGCAGTGAGGCAATCATACACAGAGACAAAATCCTAAAGGAATGTTTTGAAATAAGACAGAAACATCAACTAGTGATCAAAGGAGAGCACAAGGAGATGGATGCGCTCAGAAAACAGTTTGAGGTGCTTTCAAAGGAGCTAACAAATGCGTTACATGACATTGAAGTTGTGAAAGTGCGGAGAGACTGGGCTTTGACCGAAAGAGACAAAGTAATTCAAGACAGGGATTCCTTGAAAATAAGATTTGACAAAATGCAACATGAGAGGGATCGTGCTGTGAGCGATCTGGCGGAACTTCTCCATGAATCTGATCACATAAGACGAAAACATGGTGAGGCTGTTGCTGAACTCTTAGAACTGCGCAGCCATATCGAGAATCAACTGAATCAAGGCAGTCTTTCACAGGAACTTGTGTCAAGTAGAGATTCGGCAATCGACACAGACTCCAATGTAAGCTAATTACGTGGGCATAAATTCTAGAAGTATTGATTTGCCATACAATTTGACCTGCTTAACTACGGGGAGCAGGACTTTCCATCCATTGTGTGGGTGGTGTGGGAGGAATTTGAAAGTTACTCTTGGGTTTTAGAAATGTGACTGAAGAGGAGGGATTTTTTAAGCTGGACCCTTTTTTTAAGGGGGGTTAAGGTGTTATGGGAGGGAAGGGAGGGTGAAGTTCTGTGGGCATTCATTTATCAGTTTCATGTACAATGTGAATGGTAACCATGTTGAACATCCAAAATGTAATATCAAGTTGTGGTGTCGTGAAGTGGTTTTGTTGTCTGCTACCTTTAATAACATTGCTGTGACGTTGACTTGTCTTTTGCAGGAATGGGAAACAGAATCTGTTGTTTTAGAGAGGGTGAGTTTCATATGGGTTATTGAACAAGCATGAGGTCAATATGGCTGGATATTGCCCAAGTTCTTTTTTTGTGTGTTATGGACCGAGACATGGTTGAGCTCTATAAACATGCAAATAATGAACAGGGCCAATATCAAGCCATTTTGATGGGCAATACAGGATTTGTTATATGGAAAAAGAACATTTTCTTGTGGAACACAGCAGGTGTCCCACAGAGGGCAAGATAGTGCCATCTTACTTGATCTGGTAGCCAATCACGGTGTAGGAATCAGTTCATCTTGCCCACTCACAGATAGCTAGTCATATAATAATGGTAGTTACTGACAGAGGGGGATTTACTCTGACTTACATTTACTTAAGCTCAAACTTTCTTTTTAAATGCTTTTTAGTCAACTTGATACCAGTCGGCCAATGTTTTTATGAGTCATCTGTGCAAGATTGAAATCCTGAAGTTGGAAGAACTCTTAAAAATTTCGAACAGAATTGAAGATTTCTGAAGACTTTCAAGATGACCTAAAGATTTCAAACTTGGCCAGCATGTGTTTGGAATGTGAACACCACTTTTATAATGACCAAAGAGAGAATTAATAAGTGTTAAAAAAATAACTTCTAAGGGTATGAAGAAGTGGATGTTGTTTCTTAAGGCTTCAATTAGTTTATAAAATTGTTAATACCGGTAACATTAATTGTCCAGATCAGTTAAAGAAAAATTTAGTTAAGCAATCAGAGTCACATAAAAGATCTTTAAGAGATACTACCTTATTAGATTTATGGGGGAATATGTCTTCAGCTATGGGACAGTCTTCGTTTAAGTATGCTGCTGCGAAGGACTGGAATGATCTTCCCAAAGAGCTAAGGCACCTCAGCTCTGTTTTTACTTTCAAAAATGAGGTTTTTAAGTATTCTTAGACATAGATCTCAAGGAACATAATATTGTACTGCTCGCTAGTGGGTACATATTTTTCTGATATTTAATATTCTGATGATGTTATTGTGTGGATGTATTTTTAGATGAATATATTTTATATTGCTGATCACCGGTTTATACTAGCTGCTCCCATAGGTTCAGCTGATCAGTTTTTTATCAGGATAAATAAAGATTTTATTATTATAATTATTATTATAGAAGGAGAATTGTGTGTTACTGACATGGTTGCTTATATCTCATTACAGATGAATCTGGATGATGATCTCGGCATTGCCATTGCTGGTGGGATTGACACTCCTGCTATTCCTAATGACAGCTCTATTGTGATAACTAATGTCGCAAAAGGAAGCATAGCTGATGGCAAGCTCAGGTAAGCTAGAAGATACAAACATTACTGCTTCAACTGTCAACAAAATAACTTGCATATTTAGTTAATTCTTTAATGCATAACCTCTTAACAGAACTTAAAATGAACAGATTCAAATTTTTACAGAGACAAGTGCCTTGAGCAATTTGCCTCTCACTAGCCCTGGCCATGCAGAGACCAAATTTGAGTATGGATAATATGTAGACAAGGTTTATTCAAGATGTAAAACTGTGTAATTGCTCACATTCATGAACAAGAAATGTAAATATGGGAATGATGAGTGAAAACTGACCTAATATGGGTAAAAAAAAACGTGACTATTAAAATGACCAATTTAAACTTTCACAGCTGCAAGTTTAGTTTTAGCGTAAAGTTTGTGCTTTCATTTTATAACTGTGACTTATTTTCAATCTTTTTCATATTTAGTCATTGTAACCAGGTCAGGATTTTCTATGCAATAAAACTTAATGTTATATGTTTTATTCAAAAAGGGTAAATGACTGTGTTCTGAAGGTAAACAACATTGACTTGACAAATGTTGAATACCGCACTGCAGTTCAAGCAATCAGCAGAGGGGAGGTGGTCAACATGGTCAGTAAAAAATTCGTTCAGAAATAATTTCTATTGTTAGGAAAAACGCTAGATATGAAAAGCTTGAAAATACATGTAAAAGTGCCGTCTGGTTCTCTGGGACAAGGAGATTTTCCCGCCAGGCGAGTAACTTTTCATTTTCACTTGCCCAATGGGCAAGGGCCCAGGAAAGTTGTCAAAATTTGAGAGTAACTTGTCCAAAGAGCATGGTGAAATTCAAGCTTTTTTTTTTCAAGCCATGTATTTACTGAAAGCCATTATTAATAAATAAGTTTAGAAAATTTGTGCATTCAATGGATCTTACAGACCACTCATACATGTATGTAATGAGTTTTAGTCCAAGGGCTTATGTTATTGTAAAATGATACATTTTTGAGGTAACTTGACATATTGCTAGGGATCAAATGCAGTGTACTAAGCTAAGCATGCTATAAGAGGCAGAAGTAGTGTTCATCACCACTACCAAGGCTATGTTTTGAAAACAAATGTCAAGACTAGAGTTAAAGATGTAGGTTTTGAAATGTCCCTTTTGAAAATCTAACCATGCTGTATTTTTTTTGAAATGTGTCTATTGTATTATTTTATTGTGTTAGACTGTGAAGAGGAAGAGATTAACAGGATCTAGAGCCTTGCTTCACCCAGTCAGTCTGATCCTCACAAACAACAAAGGTAACATGCTGCCTAGCTGCATCCATCTACATTATACATCCTTTACATTACAGGGTTATCATTGCATGTACGTTTTGAGTCACCTGTAGCCTTGACCTTCACACCTGTAACAAACTTGTTTCTTTGTGGGTGAATTGTATCAACAAATGGCAATTTTGCCCATAACATTGAGGGCCTATCAAATGCACTCAACCCTAACATGTGTTACAGGTTACGGCCATTAATGACAGCTCTGGTAATGGCACATAAAGAAATATTAAAGTACAATATAAAACAATTCAACATTTATAAATGAATTAAGAAGAATATCCATGATGTAGTTAGAGTATTCATTTGATTGACAATGCATATTCCAGCTGCCTTTTCTTTGGAGGAATAACTATTAATTATTGTTGGTCATATTGGGATTTGTATTTCACACATGCCACATCCCTGACTGCTACAAGATCACTGATGCTCTCTCCCATTGATTCTACTTAACTGTATCTTGACTAAAGATTTGATTGGGTGCAGGTAACAAGGGCAGTATTCAGTTAACTGCAGCAGGGTGTGGTTTAATTTGAACTAACTTGTTTTTTTGTTAAACTTAATTTTCAGAGCTTGGGATCAGAGTTGACAGCACTAACCATATCAGTTGCATTGTACCTGGAAGTGTTGCTGCTGAGGAGGAAACTATTGCAGTTGGAGACAAGATCATTACTGTAAGAAAAGTTGTCTTTAATTGAAATAGCTGGTTTCTGTGACAATGCTCTTTAGTTTCAAATTTTGTCAAAAAATCTGAAACTAATATTATTAAGAGCAGTTGAAAGTTGCTTGAAAATTTTGAGGCCTGAATTGTCAAACAATTTCACCCATTTTCCTTACAGTTGTTAACTGAGTATTTGAGCACCTAGCGTCCTCCCCGAGCACCTCTGGGAGAGGGGGAAGGGGGGGGGGGCACGGGCTCCTTTCCCTTGCTTTGGGTTGCAATTGAGCCTAGACCTGTCTCTGCTCTTCACCCCCTTTTTAACACAACTTAGCTCATCTCTGCTCATTTCCTGTATCTAGATTTGCTACTGTCTGCTACTTTTATTATGGAGTTGCTGTTATGTGAAAATAATTTCCGATGAAGATCATTTTGTGTAGTATACACTTTTGCAAACACTTTTCTCCTTTTGATGACACCATCCAGTTTGAGTTTCTCATGAACAAGTTTGGTCTGTGACAGATTTACCTGTTTTGGTTGCTGAATTCTGTGATGAAAATAGTTGCTAACTGGTTATCTAAGGTCAAGTTTGTTTCATATTCTAGATTAATGGCACATCCACTGAGAACCTCAACCAAACTGAAGTTGAGAGACTGTTATCGACAAGTCTTGTGAGGCTCACAATTCAGAAGTTGTCGGCTGCGTCGTCACGAACACAAGTGCTTCAGTCATTGTTGGATGAAGTCAATGAAAAGATCAGCAGAGAAAATGACATCTGTCGTGAGGTTGAGCACACAAAGGAAAGAATCACAAACTCTGGAAGCTTATGCGAGCTGCAGTTATCACAGCAGGAGTCCTCGTCTGCTTATCATTCCGGGAAAAGCTCCCCTCTTCCAGATGACCAAATACCCTCAACTCCCGAGTCAATTTCTGAACCTGTGTTGCATTCATCATCATCACTAACTCCACTTTATGAAGAGAGCAGAGAAAGATTGCGTGAGAAACAAACGGACTCCAGCGATTTGTCCACTGAGGAAGGAAGTGCATCCCATCTGGTCACAACAAGCGGTGGTTCATCGTCTCGAGGACGGACATTTGTCAAGTTAAGAAAATCATTAATGCGTCCCAGTCCACTAACACGGTCCATGCCTGTTCAGAAGGAGAGACCTACACCCCCAACCAGAAGTTGTTCCTACATGTCAGCCATCACGTCACCTCCCCAAGCAGACGTCAATGTCAGTTCACAGGTAGACAACATGCTCACAATCCAATCAGCGCCAGTATCTACACTTCATTACCCTTCAAATTCATTTCAAGATTCTCCTGTTGTTAACACTTCAAACACCGTAGTCATTCCTCGTAAAAAGACTGAGTCATATTTCCGAAATGGTTCTCGTCCTCAATCTGCTCCCTCTGCAAGAAATTACCAGATACCCTTGGGAGGTAGCCCATTGTCGTCCAGTTTTGGTCGATATTCCAGTCATGAAGACCCTTTGGCATTAACTCCTCCGAAGCCCAACATGACAGGACCTCCTGTCACAGTTGCTGTCATGAGGTCAGCTAACGTCCCATACTACACTGCTAAGAGTCATTCTGTTCAGAGTTATGGAGGCCAGCCGGCTGTCAGTCAACAGTGTTTACCAGTGCAGTGTCGCGGCAAGCATAAACAAGACACAATCGAGCCCGAGCTGCCTCGAGGCAGACATAGTCGGCAGGGGTCATCTCATAGTGCAGATGGAGAGGAGCACAAAGTGCGACACTTGTCTCTTTACAACTATGACCCGCCATCAAATGCTAAGAACAAGGCTCACAGAGTTAGTTTACCAAACCCGCGGTCACGGGTGACATCGTATCCCAGTGCAGGGACAGGAAGCTACTGTGGCAGTTCTGTGAGTTCGACATACTCCATCTCCTCAGGTCATACAACTCCTGTTGTTGTTCCTTCAACTCCAATCGTGCCAGCAACTGAAGAAGGCGGCCCTGTTTTGGCTTTTGACTTCAGTGGTCCATTGACGTCTAAGGAAGATCCTTTTAACAGGTAAGCATTCCTGAATGAGCACCCTTAAAAGGTAGTGTGATGGTGTTTACTGTGCGCCAGGAAGAACTGATCGGGATGGCTGTTGAATAATAGGGGAACTAACCTGAGTATGAGATTGAATACGAGTACGACTTTTCAATTCTAGTTTGCAGGCTTCACGTTATCACGTCACATACGCATTTCATCCCATGAGCTACCCTCTCTACCTGAAACCAACATGAAGAGAGAGGGCTCTAGAAACGTCACTGGTTTGAAATTTGATAATCCTTACTTGAACTAAATCTGGTACTCATAGTTGAATCTAAAGGTCCATAATGGTGTGTTTTTCTAAAATCAGCAAACCAACTGAAAGAAATGGTACTTACAACTTCATATTTCGTTTTCAATTACTGTTATCCTGTGATTGGAGACTAGAAATAGCAGATACATGTACCAGCAAATGGTACTGCAGAATTCTCTGACAGCTTGGTCCAACTATATTAAGAGGACTGCCTCAAAACGTTATCTACAGTTTCTAACAGAAATTCGCAAAAAAAAATTATTCCATTTGCTTTCCAACTGAAATTTTTAGGCTTTTTGGCCAACGTGGTTAAAACTAGGAAGGGTCCATCTTTACAGTGTATGGTTAAAATCTGAAAACTCATATATTACGTTAAAAAAAAAAAAAAACATCAGAGATAATGCATATGTAGAAGCCTTTGAGAAGACTCTAGGGCCAGGTGTCAATTTTATTTTATCAGTGAGTGTTGTTTGTGAGAATTCTACCTGCAAACCAACTGTTGATAAAGAACGTAGTATTTCTTAAATGTAGAAATGTTTTGATGAAATTTGTCTCGTTGCAGGGATTATGAGCCTCGCCTTGTTCATATAGAAAAGAAGGACACTCTAGGAATTTCCATTGCCGCTGGTTGTCAGGGGGGTGTCTTTGTCTGTTCTGTTAATGAAGGAAGTGTGGCTGCAACGGCAGGACTTAAATATGGTGATCAGCTGTTAGAGGTGCGTTTGTCGATGTTTAATTTTATACGCATAATCTGCCGGTGTTGCCAGACCAAGTCACCTTATATCAACATTTTGACAAACAAACAGTTCTAGTTAAGGGTACTGCTTGGAAGTTGTCTCTGGAATAATCATACTCCGGTATTCCATTCAGAGACTTGACAGTTAGATCCACCCTGCACAGCATAAGCAACAGTACCACTTGAAAGTACTGCTCAATAGCTTTCATTTGAATGGTCACAAACTAGAGTTTTATCCACAGACTTAAAAGTTAGAACCACCTTGTACAGCGTAATAAACAGTACCACATGAAAGTACTGCTCAATATCTTTCATTAAATGGTCACCCACTAGGGCTTCATCCACAGACTTAGAAGTTAGAACCACCTCGTACAGCGCTATAAAACGGTACCCACGTGAAGGTACTGCTCAATAGCTTTCATTTGAATGGTCACAAACCAGAGTTTTATCCACAGACTTAACGTTAGAACCACCTTTTACAGTAGCACGTGAAACTGCTTCTCAATAGCTTTCATTTAAATGGTCACACACAAGGGTTTCAGCTACAGGCTTAAAAGTTAGAATCACCTTGTACAGCATAATAAACAGTACCGTAGGAAAGAACTGCTCAGAGGTTTTCAGTTGGGCGGTCACACAACACAGTCGGGCCCTCGCACTGGCAAGTTGGAACATTGCTATAATATTTGAAAAAAATTGTTTTTCTCCATTACAGTACAATGGTGTGAACCTCCGATGTGCGACGTACGAGCAAGCGGCCATGATTCTGAAGCAGTCTGGTAACAGTGTGACCATTTTAGCACAGTTCAACCCAGAGAAGTTCAAAGAGACGACAGAATCAATGTCCAGCCAATCAGAAGCAAGCACCACATGCAGTACACCCATCAACAAGACAAAACAGTCACATGAGGGCAGCAGCAGTACTCCACCAATCAGAAGAAACAATGGAATTCTACCAATCATTGACAACGAGCCACCCGGAGACTTACGTTATGTATTCTTCACAAAAAGTCCCAGTTCGTTGGGATTCAATATCGCTGGTGGAAATGCCATGGGAATCTTTGTGTCAGAAATGCAACCCGATGACGAGGCTGTTAGTTCGTCTGGACTCAGTGTTGGCGATCACATTTTAGAAGTAAACGAACTAGCAAGATATTTTCTTTCTGAGGCCATTTGGGGGNAAAATCCCGTGCTTGTATGTGGCTGGGATCATTACTACGTGACTGCCTACGGGAGGAGTCCGTTTACGAAGGTTCGACTGTAGTTGCATTGGTTGACACAACAAGTAGTTAAAATGTAGTTTATGCTTACAATATCAGTGTTATCAAGCAGACAGGTGATGAAACTAAAAAAGAATACAAACTATGGATTGTTGTCTTGATACAACGCCAAATTCTCAGAACAGGCATTAAAACAAGTTTATGTCAATCTGTAACGATAATTAATCTTTTGGTCTAATTACATAAGGGCCCTGTTTGAACGCATGGCGAACTCCAAAGGAGAGCTCACTTTCAAGAAGGGAGACATTCTGTATGTTACTGATACAATGTACAACGGTCACATGGGCTGCTGGAGAGCGTGCCTGGTCAATGAGGAAGATGCTCAGAAAAGAGAGATTGGAATGGTGCCAAGCCGCATGAAGTATGTTGAACAGTTAACTACTAAAATAGATTTTGTTATAGTGAAATCCTGTGGAGGCGAGGTGGCCTCATGGTTAGTGCGCTCGACTCTTGATCTAGCGGTCCGGGTTTGAGTCCTGGCCGGGGACATTGTGTTGTGTTCTTGGGCAAGACACTTTACTCTCACAGTGCCTCTCTCCACCCAGGTGTGTAAATGGGTACCGGCGAATTTAATGCTGCGAATACCGGCGAATACAAGGGTAACTCTTCAATGCTACAGAAACCGGGATAAGCTCCGGCCTGATGCGGGGCCACTTGGCCTGTATGCAGACTTCACCTTTTTTATATAGAAATCATGCGCGGGAAACAAGTCTTGGTAGTCTTGGCTTTTTCTAAAGACGTCGACAGGGATTTTTCACATGAATATTGGATTCAGTTGTAAACAATTGTTGTACATTCCCTGCATCAAAGAGATTTACTGACTTCAGTTTCTTCTTTTATCAAAAGGGCCGAGCAAGAGATTCTGTTACGTAGAAGCCTAGCACTAGCTCATGGCGATGAATATAAACTGAGTGGGAGACGAAGTTTCTTTCGGCGGAGCAAGAAAGGCTCACACGGCATGTCTGTCAATCATTCGCGTGAAGGAAGTGACTCCGCGACAAGTATCACAACTAGCTGTACAGGTAAGGAATGCTTGTCTTAAAGGACCTCAGCCTTGGTATTTTTAGTTATGTTGGCCACGTGCAAAATTACCTTTAAATTGAAGGAAATCTAGAAATAATAGTTTTTCTAAGATAGAAAAACACCAAAGAGATAATAATAAACCATAAAGGAACAAGGATGGTTATGGATGGAGAAGATTGACACGGATTACTAACAACAAACTTGAAAAAGTTTGGCTAAACTTCTCAAAATGCGCAAACCGTGACGTAGCTTCTTTAACTGTGAAACAATCTTTTTGGGTTGAAATATTAACAAAGATGAAAATTTCTTGTTGTGAAATGTTGAAAACCAGACAGTACTACATCGAAGTACTGCTACATAACGTCTGCCATTATTGAAAGATTACACTTACTGAGTTTCTTCCATGAGGCGTTGTGGTTTGCTGTGCACTTCTAGGAGATTATAATATATTTAAATCTTTGTTATTGTTATGAATTGTGTATAACTGTAACCTGTTTCTTGTCAGATCTTGGAATAGCTTCTTACCAAACAGTGGAGAAACTAGACAGTAAGTAAAAGCTGGTTTACTCATGTGCATGGTTTGTCAACAGACAATGTATCCGTATTCTCGGTAATGGACTGGAACTAGCTTGCAACTGAGGCTAATACGGGGAGTCTTCAAATGCAAATGACGTAATCTCTTTTTAATAATATTCCCCCGCATGAGCCTCCATATCAAGCTAGTTCCAGTCCCATACCAAGAATACCGTGCCAATATAGTTTGGAGAGGCAAGCACCTTATGAAAACTGTCCCTCTCCAGCGCAAAACACTGTAGGACCGGGAAGTAAGATATCACCCGTAGATTTATGGCAAAGTTTCGAAGTATCTCAATTAGGAGCTATAAACTCAGGCCATAATCATTGTAAGAGCTTTGCATTAGAGTCCCCCAATTTTTTTTTTAGTAGTTGAAACATTCAATTTTTCAGGTTTTTTAAAAATCAGTAATTTTGATTTACAGGTCACATTCCACGAGCTGTAATTTTGTTTGGTCCTATGGTTGATGTTCTGTACGAGAAGCTGTNGTTGCCATGCTTAACCTTTCATACTCAAACAAACTAAAACTGCGGCCCTACAGCAGAAGTCATATTGATATTAACAATTCTTATGGTGTGGTTGATTAAACAAAGATTCTTTGTTGTGCCAGCGAAAAGACTTGAAAACCGAACAATCAAGGTATCACTGTTAATCGTGAAAGTCACTGAGACAACATCTCACTGATAAAACGTTTTCCTTTTGTAAACAGAGACCAGAAAGACAGTCGCTACATCAGAGAAAAGATGAGTCTTAGACACGCTAAGGATCTGTTTGAATCCAGTGCTAAAATGGAACGAGAGTTGAAGCACTTATTTAATGGCACATGTGAGTATCACGGCGCAGTAAGCATTTTATAAGTAGTCTCAAATTGAACGATCTTCTGTATCGCTGTTTTTGCGCGCTCTGTTGTGTTCTTCTGTGAGCGGAACAAAAGTGACATGTATGGCAGCATTTCTTCATTCTCTCGTAATTCAAACTTCGAAGACTTTCTTAGGGTCTCTCGCGCAATCTTTCCGCCCCGTGATGAGGGAAGATTGCGTGACTAACTCAAAGAGCGTCTGCGCTAACCTTGGGCCCTTTGAGACATACGCAACTTCTTCCTTGCGTGTATATTGACCGAGAACAAGGCCAATATCCAGCCATCTTGACCGAACAAGCTTGGTTAATAAAGAACTTATTATATGGAAAAAGAACATTATTTTCTTGCGGGACACAGTGGTAGCCAATCACAGCGCAGGAATCGGTTCATCTTGTCCGCTCACGGAGCTAGCCATACAATAAAAAAGTATCTTGTACGTGGAGAAGTTTTATATCATTTGTAAAAGAAACATAAATCCTCCTCTGTACTTTTTTGCTTACTTGACACCTTACATCTCTTTTATGCATTTCTTTTCTAGGTGTTGTTCATGGAAACAGCATCAGCAGTATTTGTTCCCAGATCCAAGAGATGGTGGACGAGCAGCAAAAGAAGACGGTCTGGGTACCACTTTCGAGCGTTTAGGGAAAATCATTCGCAGATTCTTTTTACTTTTGTAGATCCTTTCCATTCTTTCCTTTAACGTTTTCATAATAATTTTCGTCATCCCTGCTTACGCTTAGAGGACCAATGGGACTAAGCAGCAGCAAGATCGACTAGATCTCTGCCATCTTCTTAAAAACTGCTCTTTCCCTTTTTCTTGGGCCTCTTTTGGTTGTCTTGGGACGACTTTTCTTTTTGTCCGGTAAGGCGCTGTCGTTTCCTAATTCTATCGGAAGCGAACTCTTTTGATCTCATTTCCACTCCTTGTATTCGCACTCTCTCCAGTCCCTTCTTAGGAGGCCGCGTTCTTGTTTAGCCATTCGTCCATTTTGTTGAATTGTCATTTCACTGAGATGATCAAACACTTCATTCTCACAAGTTTTAGTTGCAATGGCTATGAGAAGTTAGAAATTAGTCAGTTTTGAGTATGACAGACGTTTCCGCTCCATTCTGAAACCTCGAGTGTTGTTTTGAAGGTTGTAGATCAGAGCGGTAGTAGAAACAGTGATCTTTCACAAGGTTAAATATAATTATTCAAGCGCTCACTTTTTTTATTATTTTGCTTGTGATCCGAAAATTCGTGACTTTGAACGACGTCTAAGACGTGAACTAAATGTAGCCCTTAGTTAACGGTTAAAAATTGCGGGTGTGGTTTTCTCCATATTACCTCTTTTAGTGAGGAGCTGCAATTTTTTTTAAAGTAACACGCTTAGTTTATCTACTGCACTCGACCTCTTCTCGTACCCAGATCTAAGAAAGTATCCAGATGCTCTCTCCCGAAGAGTGAGGAGATTTGGTTACGAAATTACACTCTACCTACTGCAACCCGCTAGGTAGAAACTATTGTATAGCTTCACGCATCGACGTTCAACTGTACATTGGTTTGTTGGTTTTTCAGTTTGTTATGGTAGTACAGGTAAGCTGAGAAGCGTGATGATGCCCCGCGGAAATCAGTTTCGACGAGAATATATTTGTAAGATTGGGTGGTTAGTCAGCTTTAGATTGAAATGGTAATTTATAATGTAAGCTTGCTTAGTAGAAGTCCGTAATAAAGATACTTTGAGAATATTTTTGTTTGTTTAATCGTTCAGTGCGTGGCGCCCGGCGGAACGGGCATGCTCAGTGAGAAGGGCAACTTCGTTCCCAGGCTCTTCTCACCTTTGCATCCCTTGTGACAAGGGAGGCAGGGGAGAGAGATTGAGTGAAGCGATGACAGAGGCGCAAATGTATTTTTCCCGTTTCTCTTGGTGCGCTTCTCCCGTAGAAGCGAAAATCCTGCACTAATAGTTCTGCAGGGACATTCATTCTGTCTCACTACGCAGGTTTACGCAGATTACTTTCGTGGATAGCTGGTTTTCACATGACGTCACTAAAATTCGAACTACAAAACTATTGATCTTCCTGAGATTTTACTTTAATGATGTATAAGAGCAGC